ATAAGTTAGCTCGACATTACAGCGTCGGCCTACCACCGCCACAGAAGGGGAATAATATAGAACAAGACCAACCCATCACAATAGTCACATACAACCCCTTCCTCATATCCTTATACCAAAAAATCGCTAAAAAACAAGGATTACGACTGTCGTTCAGAAGATGTCCGTCTATGTTTAAGCTTTTACGCAATGAAAAAGATAAACCTAAGGAGGATAAGCTGCCAGGGGTATACGCTGTTCCCCTCGTGGACCACAGATTTGAGAGACAACTTATCTACATTGGTGCTACTAAGCGTTCGATCGGTGTCCGATGGGCGGAACACAAAAGTGACATCATCCACAACAGAGCTACTACTTCGTTATCCACGTATGCTTCGGACCCGGAAATTTCGGTAGACTTTGATAACGCTAAACTCCTCATTACCACTAAATTTACGGATCACATCAAATGGTTGGAACAAATGGAGATCTGCAAGGCATACAACACGTCTGAACCTATTAACTCGAGGGATGAAATTACCCTATCCCTTGCATGGCAGGCACTACTACAGAAAGAAGATACGCATTAATAATGCGTTTCATAAATAGGATGTAAACATCGTGCATAGGAATTTTATACCGAACATTTTTTATTTTTATTTTTTATTATATTTATTTACGGAATTTCGGGAATGCACGTGATTCACATTAACGTTGAATTTTGACTTTTGAAATGTTGTTCGGTAGAATAATTTTTCGAATATCGCTATTTACTGGTCTTCGTTCATGGTTATTTTAAAGACGAATCGCTGCTTGAGAAAGGTCCTAGGGAAGGAACCGAAAACGTTCGCAGTATATTTTACGATTATTTAATACCGGTTATTGGTTTTAGTAAGTGATATTTTTATATTAATCCGGTATTTGAAGATTCTTTATATATATTCTCAGGTCATTATTGATGATTTCTTGCCATTTTTCAGGCAGCTTGTCAGTTCTCCTTGCATAAAATTCGGTGATTTCAAATCAACAAAACAGTCTTTACGGGCAGAGTCAACTTTTTAATTCAGGCTTCTCATCTACCTTATTATGTAAAAATGATTAAAAACAATTGCTTTTAAATGTTTTTGTTTGAAAAAGGGACAGGATGTTTCTTTTGAATTGTGAATATTTTATATATATTTACTGTCCTTGGCCATTTCATTAAATTTTGTATTAATTGAAATATTTTTTAAGATATTTAAAAGCTAATCTCTCTAAAATATTTATTTATTTACAAAATTAAGATTTTAGATGTAATTTCTGTAATTTTAAAAATAAAGCTTTATACATAATATTAAAATGTATTTAAATCTAAATAATTTATTTAAAGTTTGTTGCTGGAAGTAATGGTCCATTTCCTATAGTACCTGTTGAATTTCCAAAGTTACAAGAAATGAGGTAAATATAAATTCTATGAGAAAAAATATAGATGATGATTTAAATTCTTTCTTAATTGTTATTATTTATTACTCTTCTGTTACTTTTGCATGATAATTATAAGATGTAGTTTTGTTTTTATTTAATTGTAAAATTGTTATTAATAAAATAGATTTGTGTGTAAACGTTGTAAATAGAGAGAGAGAGAGTTGTTTGCAAACTCTCTCTCTCTTGCGATAATTAAATTTCAGAAAATATGGATAAGATCGTATATCATGTACTCCTGCCTGCTAAAATAAATTTGTTATTGTTTATTAATATGGAATCCGAGTGAATCACTTCTTTGTTTCTCTCTCCTCACCTCTATTCTGAATCCAACTACTCACGTGATGTAAATTCATGTTTTTTGAGTCCCGAGAGACTCAATGGTGTCACAACCTGACGTGGTGTCAGAGACACCAACCCTACGGTCACACTAGGATAATTGTGTCATCCGCATAGCCCTGTATGCAGCAGCCAGGAGGCAGGGTGTTGTTTAAGTGCAGAATAGAGTTATAGGCTATGTTCCAGAGATCAGGATCAGACCTGGATCCCCGAGGACAGCCTCCAGTGATGGGTATAACTATGTTATTTTGTGTTGTATAAACACCTGCACTCCTGTTGCTAAGATACGACTGAAGAAGTTTGTAAAGATTTCAAGGGCAGTGATGAGCATGTAATGTGTGCAGGATAAAAGGCCACCAGGCATGATCGAAGGCTCCTCTAAAGTCATAAAGTCATACAATTAATACAGACATTTACTTCTTTTACTGATAGTTCAGATTAATTTTAAAAATTAATATCGATTATTTATGTGAAGAATTATAAAATGCAACAGGGAGGAGAGCATTGCAGAATGCCAGGGGATCAAACTATGTCCCAAATATAACATATGGCAATATCAATATTGTCATTTGTAAATTTTAACACAGCTGTATTAATTTTGCTATATTATGAATTTTGGAGAAAAGTCTGTAATACTCTTATTAATCTAACATTGGTTAAAATTTTTTTGAAGTATTTTAGTTAATCCACAACCATAAATTTATGTGGCTTTCAAAAAAAATAACAAATCCTGTTTAATCCATGTACAAAAGTATGTATTTATTAAATTTATCTCTTAACAAATTTCCTGAACTTTATAAAATATTAANGCCAACAAGTGAGTAACTCGTCACAAAAAATTGTTTCGGTTTAGTATGTACTACCATTTTATTATAATTAATTTTATAACAATATATTGATGGGAGAAAGTCAATAAAATAAATTCAATTTTAAAAATGCTTGGCGGACCGCATAAACATGTTTAACGGGCCACGTGTTGCTCATCCCTGGTGTAAAAGATGGAAGTTAACAAAGAGAAAATTAGGTATGTTTTACAATTTTGCTTCGATAAAGGCGAAAATGCAAGCCATGAGGTTGAAATTGTGAATGGTGTTTATGGTCTCAATACTGTCACAGTCAATTATGCGCAATTTTGATTTCGTCGATTCTGTTCTGGTAATTTCGATGTTAAAGATGCACCTCACACAAGTGAGCCCATTATCGAAAATGTTGATAAAATCATGGAAATGATCAAAGTAGACAGGCATGTTGGCAGTTGTAGTTTTTTTTTTTTTTTTAGAATAACATCATTTCCCTTTGCAGGGATCAGTCTCCCTTGTCCCACTATCCGCATCACAAGGGGAATGTCTTCTTTATTACTTTATCCTTAAAACTTATACAATTTTTAGTACAAACAACAAATATAAATTTAACAATATGTACATAGGTAACTTTGCCTTACAGACTTGTGGCTACTTGCCACAATAGGGAGGGAGCAGCTCGCTCTCCACCCTCATGAAAGAATTAGTCATAGTACAGTATTGCCCAGGAGCTAAAGATTGATCACAAAACAGTTTTAAACCATTTGCATAAAGCTGAATTCAAAAAGACGCTCATGTTTGCGTGCCACATGAATTGATGCAAAAAACATGATGGATCTAATTTCCATCTTCAAAGTCTTGGCCAAACAGAATTAAATCGATCAATTTCTTAAATGGATGAAGACTGGGGATGAGAAATGGGTGACATACAATAATATTGTGCAAAAACAATCATGGTCAAAGTGAGGTGAAGCAGCTCAAATGGTGGACAAACCAGGATTAATGGCCAGGAAGGTTTTGCTGTGCATTTGGTGGGACTGGAAAGGAATCATCTACTATGAGCTGCTTCCATATGGGCAAACACTAAATTTGGACCTCTACTGTCAACAATTGGACCATTTGAAGCTAGCGATTGACCAGAAGTGGCCAGAATTGGCCAACAGGAGAGGTGTTGTGTTTCATCAGGACAATGCCAGGCCACACACATCTATAGTGACTCACCAGAAACTCAGGGAGCTTGGTTGAAAAGTTTTGATGCATCCACCTTATAGTCTGGACCTGGCACCAAGCAATTATTATTTTTTTTTTACCATTGCAAAATTTCCTTAGTGATAAGAAATTGACATCAATAGAAGATTGTGAAAATCACTTAGTTGAGTTTTTCACCAATAGGGACCAGGGCTTCTATGAGAGAGGCATTATGAAATTACCTTTAAAATGGCAACAAATTATAAAACAAAACAGTGCATATTTGACCCAAGTTGGACAATCCAAACCATGTTAAATAAAGTCTTGAAATAAACGAAAAATAATGGATTTCTTTTTCCCCAACCCATATATCGTTCCAGTTTACTGTTGTGGTTTTTATTTACATTTACATTTATTACATTTCTGAATTTTTCATTGTGATTTTATATTAAAATGGCAAAGCTTTATCAAAATTGGCCCATCAAATTTTGAGAACAAACTCAATTCTATTAGTCACATAGAATACACGCTAGCAACCTTGGGAAATTACATGACATCTCTTTGTTGCAAGTGCTCTTGTGAGGACCTTGTATCCCAAAAATGAAGTCACAAACCCCCATTTTTTATTTTATTTTTGGTGTTTTCATAGTAATTAATGGAAAATGGCAAAGTTTTATCAAAATTGATCAAACAGATTTCAAGAACAAATGCAATTCTGTAAGCCACTTAAGAGAGGCTTCACTAATGCTCTGCCTCAATTAAATGATGTTACTTATTGAGTAACATTCTAATTTCAAACATTATCAAATTGAAGCTAGATTGGAAACCTGACATAAGTTTATGAAATATGCTAGAAACATTTGTTTCCTTAATAAATTTGTTTTGCTGGAAATGCAAGGATGAGGTTTTTGAGATTTTAAGGTAATCATATTTCAAGCTTTGTTTGTTACTTTTAGGCTTATTTGTAAGGAAAATAAGGCATATCTAATTCATAGATGACCTTTTCTGCATTAGTGCTAAGAATCAATTAAGATAAAAATGTAAATATTAATAAAAGATATAATTCATAATTTATTATTACATTTAATTAATTTTAACAATATTATCCTAAATTTTTAAATTAATGTAATTTATCACCAATAGGAATTTATTTAAATTTTTTCCATGCCTTTAATTAGGAGTAAAAATTATCACGATAAATCTACTGATAGAATATATGAAGGATATAGTCAAGTAAGTTTCAAAAAATTTTGTATTAAGTGTAAACAAATATAAATTTTTTGTCATGTTTAAATTAAAATTGTTTATTTTCAAAGTTAATTTAGTAATATCAATATTTTTAGATTGTCTTCCAGTTCATTTTCAGATATAAACTGTAATTTCAGATATTATATTATTCTAGGAATTAAATACAATGTTCTTCAATGGTTGGGATTGAAGTAAACCTAGAAATGTTGAAAATATTAAGTCAGGAATTTCAAAAAGCAGAAGGTTTTTGATTTTAGATATTTTTTATTTTCCTGACTATTATATATAACAGTGGAAAGTATTGCGATTGGTCAGAAAATGACCCCCCAACATTTTTGGACCTGGACCTTGAAATGTCAAGAAGTGCAAAAAAATTTGGGTTTTTTATGGATGTTAGTGTGTATGGGAGGGCATGAATTTGTTCATCCTCTTTGAAGCTTAATAACTCCTATGTTTTTCAAAAATTTCTGAAATTTTGCAGGGATGTTTGTGTATTGGGGGATTGATACTATTAAATTATGGTGGTTAACGGTTGACGGCGTGGGGAGATAAAAGGAGTTGTGTGTCGTATTTTCAGTAAGATTAGACTTAATGATGACTTTACTCATTCTTAGCATTTACAATTTTGTATAAAACCAATCCCTACCCTAAAAATTAACTTTTTTGCTATTTTATAATAATTAAAAATATAAAAAGTTTTTAAATAAAATATCATAACAGATGGTTCAAATGTTGCCAGGAAAGTTAAGCAACTCATTACTGTATTTCTTTTTCTATTAATCAATTGCCTTACATCAGTGTTTTTCAACCTTCTTGAATACCTGACCCCTTTACTAGTTAAAGACTTCTGACGACCCATCCAGGGCCATATTAAAACTATATCAGTGATTTTAAAAACTACGTATTTAATTTTCTTACTTTAAATATCGATCGAAAAACCAATTGTACTGTAAATTAAAAAGGCACAGCCTTCTCACTGAAATTCTAGTTTTTTTTTTATTGTAGTGTAGGACCTACAAATACTTGTCTATTTCTTTCACCCGCGACCCCCTGGTGTAAGGCTTTGCGACCCCCCCCTGGAGGTCGTGACCCACAGGTTGAAAAACACTGCCTTACATCATTAATTTTATATTTGAATTTAAAAGTGAAATATATCACTTTCAGTTATATATTGTCTATAACTAATAAAGTTATTAAATCTTTAGATATCATTAGGCTACAATTTGAAAAAATTGTAGACCTATAAATTACCACTGTCATTCATCCATTCGTCTGTCCATCTGTCCTTCCTTAATCTCAAGAACAGAGTTAGATACATGAAAGTCAAGACTAGATATAGAAAGCTTAGGGGCAGGAGACCCTGATTAATATATATGAAATTCAAGTACAAACTGGAAGTCACATAATTTTAATTTGCAACTTTTCCCCCTAAAGATGTTAGATAGATGATCAGCACAACTCCATTGCTAATGGGAAAAGTATGATGTACAGGGTCAAGACACTACAGTACAATTTGAGGTGAAGAGCAAAAATTGCAGCTTGGCATTGTGACCATGTCACAATAAATAATAGCTAATTTCAGATAGAGCAGTTTGAAAGTGTTTTACAAAAGTTCCATTCTGGTGATTACTTATGTACAACTTGAGATTGTCAAGAAATTATCCATTTTGAGTTATTACCACATAAGAAACCTGTTACTGCAAATATATACAATCAACAGTAGGAGTAACTTTGGCTAAAACTTCAAGAAAAGTGTTTTGCACTTTTTAACAGAAAGAAGGCCATGGTAAAGGTTACCCAAGAAAATTTTGAATTTTGGCTGGTCTATTTTTGCCTTATCCACCATATTCACCTGACCTAGCACCAACAGATTTTCAGACTTTTATTGCTTCTTCCAAAACTATGAATATTTTATCTTTTTCTTTTCTGTTTTAAAATATTAAAATTGGCAGAAAAGTAATTTTTTCTAAGAAATGCTTGTAAACAAGCATTTCTTAGAAAAAATTTTTATCCTGTACAAGGATAAAAATTTAAACAAAATTATAATATGCTATAAAAAAACAGCAAATTAGTCACAAGTCAAGCAACTGGTTTCAAGGATAAGATATTTGATTTTGTTTGTCAGAATATATTGTTTTCAGGAAAGAATCAACATTTATTTCAAAATTAATTTTATTATATTTGGTTAAGTCATAAATAATTTCAGTTTCCTAAAATGAAATTTATTTGCCAGTAAAATATAGAATAATACAGTTTAATCTAATATATATTCTCAGAAAAAAAAAAAAAAAAATCACTTACTAAAACCAATAACCGGTATTAAATAATCGTAAAATATACTGCAAACGTTTTCGGTTCCTTCCCTAGGACCTTTCTCAAGCAGCAATTCGTCTTTAAAATAACCATGAACGAAGACCAGTAAATAGCGATATTCGAAAAATTATTCTACCGAACAACATTTCAAAAGTCAAAATTCAACGTTAATGTGAATCACGTGCATTCCCGAAATTCCGTAAATAAATATAATAAAAAATAAAAATAAAAAATGTTCGGTATAAAATTCCTATGCACGATGTTTACATCCTATTTATGAAACGCATTATTAATGCGTATCTTCTTTCTGTAGTAGTGCCTGCCATGCAAGGGATAGGGTAATTTCATCCCTCGAGTTAATAGGTTCAGACGTGTTGTATGCCTTGTAGATCTCCATTTGTTCCAACCATTTGATGTGATCCGTAAATTTAGTGGTAATGAGGAGTTTAGCGTTATCAAAGTCTACCGAAATTTCCGGGTCCGAAGCATACGTGGATAACGAAGTAGTAGCCCTGTTGTGGATGATGTCACTTCTGTGTTCCGCCCATCGGACACCAATCGAACGCTTAGTAGCACCAATGTAGATAAGTTGTCTCTCAAATCTGTGGTCCACGAGGGGAACAGCGTATACCCCTGGCAGCTTATCCTCCTTAGGTTTATCTTTTTCATTGCGTAAAAGCTTAAACATAGACGGACATCTTCTGAACGACAGTCGTAATCCTTGTTTTTTAGCGATTTTTTGGTATAAGGATACGAGGAAGGGGTTGTATGTGACTATTGTGAT